CTGAAGTTAAGCTGAATTATTTCTAGGGAAAGGTTTCTATATTTCCCCAACAGCATAGAAGATCTATGCTTCCCCTACCATCCAACCGTTCAATTTTGATCAAGAGAGCCACTTATCGTTTGATCTTAAATCCGACGTCTCAAAGTATTATATTTTTAGTTTTTTTTATACAAATTTTATGGTATGAAATATGGTACGTGCCACCTTCTCATTGGGGCGCACTTATAAAAAATATTAAAAATAATTTTTCGATAAAATATAATGACTAAAATATCCCTTGAGTCTTCCGGGTATTTTGGTCATTTTATTTTGTGGAAAAATATTTTTTTTATATTTTTCGCTAGTGCGAGTTTAATAGATGATTGGACGTACAAAATTTGGTGTCACAATAGTTTATATAAAAAACTTAAAAATAAAATAGTGTAGAAACGTGACATTGTGATTAAGGCCATCTTAGCCCTCCATTCAGAATAGACGGTTGGATAAGGGGAAGTATATAAGTTTTATGCTGTAGGTGAAGCATATAAAGCTTGCCCTTATTTCAACAATTTTTTTGTGAGTTCGATGAAACTAAATATTTCAAGCCCAGATTCTGATGTTCGTTGTGCTTCAAGTAGTAATGTTAGGATTATACCTTGCTCCCTTGTTCTGTAAGACTGAAGTTCAGCTGAATTATTTCTAGGGAAAGGTTTCTATACTTCCCCAACAGCATAGAAGATCTATGCTTCCCCTACCATCCAGCCGTTCAATTTTGATCAAGAGAGCCACTTATCGTTTGATCTTAGATCCGACGTCTCAAAGTATTATATTTTTAGTTTTTTTTATACAAATTTTATGGATATGAAATATGGTACGTGCCACCTTCTCATTGGGCGCACCTATAAAAAATATTAAAAATAATTTTTCGTAAAATATAATAACTAAAATATCCCTTGAGTCTTTCGGGTATTTTGGTCATTTTATTTTATTAAAAAATATTTTTTTTTATATTTTTCGCTAGTGCGAGTTTAATAGATGATTGGACGTACAAAATTTGGTGTCACAAATAGTTTATATAAAAAACTTAAAAATAAAATAGTGTAGAAACGTGACATTGTGATTGAGGCCATCTTAGCCCTTCATTCAGAATGGACGGTTGGATAAGGGGAAGTATATAAGTTTTATGCTGTAGGAGAAGCATATAAGAGGAGAAGCATATAAGATGAAACATAGAACCCCCCCTCCCGTACTTTGCAAAACAAAAAAGGAAAAGAAAAATGATTCAAGCTCAAACCTATTTGAATGTAGTGTGGACAACAGCGGGGTCGAGAATGGATGTGTATTCAAATCGTAGGAGCTAGTAACCCCCGGTGTTTCTCATAGTTGATGCAAACTCAAACGCCATCCATATTTTAAAAAATGACTAGTTCTTAAGGTTTCCTGAATTCAATATTATTTTTATTTTAGGTTTTTGTCTTTGTTCATTCTTTGTCATTTTATTGTTTTCTTGTTTCATATGTTAACCAAATTCCATAAATAAATCTATCAAAAATAATATAAGACAAGTTTTGTTACGAATGTTTGTGAATTGCTAGTTTTTTATATGAAAATTAAGAGTTTTCCTGTCTCCTGAGACAGGATCTTTCCAAGAAGTATGACAAGTCTCCGGCACAGATAGCCCTTCGATGGGGCATCCAGAGGAACACCGTCGTCATTCCAAAGTCATCGAGGATGGAGCGACTCAAGGAAAATTTTGACGTGCTCGATTTTGAATTATCCGACGAGGACATGGATTTGATCAAGAAGATGGATCGCAGGTATCGGACCAACACTCCTGCAAAGTTTTGGGGCATAGATTTCTATGCTTAGTTCCAATTTGCAAATTTCTATTTGAATTGGCCAGTGTCGAGAAAAATATGTAGTGATTCAACTATTGAAGAATCACGATGCATGGTTAATATCCTGATTTTGATAAGAAACTTATGAATGAATCAGTTTGATGAAACAGGGCTAATATGCTGTATATTTCTGTAAGAAACCTGTGAATAAATCAGATTGATGGATCAAGGATGGATTCTGTCTCTACCAGTGTTCACAAAATCGAACCGGAACGATTAGCCTGACATGGGATCGGGGACAGTTACGACTTGAACCAGACTAACCAGGCAGTTAATGGGACCAACATGTCTAGTAATTTGTCTTTTAGTTTTTGTTTTTGTTTTTTTTATTTTAATGGGTCGAAAACCCAAAAATAATTAAAAAAATCGAAAAACTTAGATTAAGTGTATACTATCTTATTACCAAAAATAATTAAAAAAATTTCAAAACAACTTTTTATATAAATTAGCATATAAATATTATGAAGATATGCAAGACAATTTATAATTTGATTTTTAAATCAACTGACGGAATTACAGAGTCCAACTAACAATGACTAGTACTAATGAGAGTGGTGAGGGGGGTCAGAGCACTGTTGTGTGTCACTATTCATTTAAATCTAAGTAAGGCTTGGTGGAGTATGTAATGTCGCAACTGTGCTATTTTGCCAATCAAAAATCAGAGTAAGGCTTGGTTGCTTGGTTGAGTAAGGTTTGGTGGAGTCTGTAGTGTCCTTTCTGAGAAAGGCTTGGTGGAGTCTATAGTGCCGCAGTTATACTCCATCATCAGTCAAGAACATTTCTCGTGGTACCCCTCGGCCACCCCTCGGCCACCACTTGGCCAAAGTCTCCTAGAATCGTCTGACTTTAGTGGTGTCCCCCACCTTGTTCCATGTTAACCCCACCTTGTTCTGTGTTACCAGAAATAACCAGGTTACGGTGTTGGCTATGGTTTTATCTCTCCCTTGTCGTCTCATGTACATCGGGCATTGTATCATGTTGCGCCCCTTCACATTCCTCGATGATTGGACCTTGCCAATTGTTTTCCATTGTCCCATCTATCTTCTCGTCATCATGCTCATCGTCTTCGTACTCGTCATAGTCGGTGTTTGAAGTAAATGTGCAGTACAACTAATATTGATTAATAAAACTAATGCAAATTTTGTGCAAGATTTTGTCCGGAACCGATAACAAAGTAGTGAAGTTTACTTCCTCAAACTTTCTGTTAGTGTGATATGCTAGGAAAATAGGCAAGGTCCAATCTAATGAAAAGAAATAAATAGAACATGGATTTCCTTATCCCTTTCGAACTCATAATCCTGATTGAACATAATCCATGGGAGTAACTCATTGCCCAATATTTCCGAAATAAAAGCCATTAAACAGTCATAGAGAATTAACAATGAGACTAGTAGCAGTAGACCAGCAGTTCTTGTAGATGCTCTTTGATATTGTTGTTGATGTTGTTGCATACAAAAGTATCCCATGAACTCTAAAAACTAGTATGTCTACCGAGATCTGAATTTATGGCCAAACTAATTGAGAACCGGTATGTTGGATCCCTGATATGGCCATAGAAGTTATTAAAGAATGAAATAAATTCAGTGATATGTAAAAGTGACATTATAATAAACATATTACCAATTTCCACGACTTCAACAGAGCCATTGAAAAGTTAAAAGAAAACAGAGAAATAGGCCATAAATCCAACTCAAAATCAATCCGAATTCCACAATTACATATACAATCCCATTTCCATTATTACAAATATAACTATACCGTGCACTTAAAAAAACATAATGAAAACTAAATCGAGCAAAAGATCGAGGGACATTATCATACACTTATTTGTTTTTTGTTAGAAAAAATATAAAACATTAGCAAAAGAAGAATCGATTTTTTTGTGATATTCATCGAAAAAACATATTTTTTATCAAAATAATAATTTTACTAAGCAAAATAGAAAAACACTTAGCATATTCATCAAAAAATAATTTTATTCAGAAAAATATATATATTTTTAAAATAATCAATATCTCAAAACCCCCTAAAACCGAGCAACATTTCGAACAACAAACGACCCTCAACATTTGGATAATCGAACAAATCATCACACATGCGTTGTAAAGTTTCGATCATCTTTCAAACGCACCAAATCTCATAAAAAATATTTGGTTTTTTTTATTTAATTGAAAAAATGGCAGAAATTTCAGATCTATAAAATTTTCATGACATCGTGTAACAAAAAAGTTCATATAAAAAATTTACTCAATCATAAATAAGCATACTTATTTTATTTGAGAGGTGAAGCTTTGATGATCAAAATTCACAACTCAATTTGATAAAAAATAACCAATAAATATTTAAGAAATTTGCCTTTGGATCAAACACAGGTTCTTTGAGCAACAACTTTTGGGCCCAAAATCAACCCACAATCTTTGATTTTTTGAACAAATTGAAACATAAATCTGGTAAATGCTTCGATTAACTATCAAACCCCCCCAAATTTCTTCAATAACCATTCAGTATTGAAGAGATTACTGAAAGAGTGGTAGAAATTTTTGAAACCCTAGAAAATCTGGTGTTTCAATCCAAGAACTTTTTTTTTTTCGATATTTCAATCCAAATTTCTTGTTTTATAAACATTATCTAATGATTTACAGCAATAAAGCATGAACAAAGCCAATAAAAAGGCAAGAAAATGAATAAAAAAAGGCGAAAAAGTGGATTCATGGGTGCCTGCCACACATAACGGCCACTATTTCAAAATAATGCTCTTTATAGTTACATTAGCGTTATTGCTTAAAACAGTCTTTTATATCGGGTAAACCGTTCCAGTTAGCAGAAAACCGGCCCGTAAGAAAAAAATATGGCTTGTTCGACCCCTAACCGGCTGGTTTTGGGCCAAACCTTTTAGGGGGGTTGTTGCCTAGGGTACTATACACTCAAAACAGCCCCTAACTAGACTCGGAACCCTAGCGGTTCCGGTTCTAATAGGTCGGTTTTTTTAACATTGGTCTCTACTGGCTAATTAAAAGCAACAGATTGCCAATAGCCAACAGAAAGCTGCTACCATTCCAACAATGCTTGTTGCCATAATAGAGAGGACACCATTCTCACCGATGAAATGGTCTAAATACACCCGCCAAATGTACCACTATGAGGGAAAAAAAGCCCCAAATTGTGAAACTACAAACTTTTAACCTCCATGAGTCGTCGTTCTATGCACATTTCATCAAGATTAAGACTCCAGAGCCCTTAGCATGTTTTAAATCATATATCAACTGTGACACCTGAACACAGTTCAAGACAAGCACACTGATCTGCCATTTGCATGTGAATGACTCAAAATATTTCTTGAGACTTCAAGCAATTTGAGGGCACTATCAGCTTTCCATGATGCGCTCAATAAGGGCAAAACGAAATGCACAATGAATACATCCCACACATTCCACTACACAATCCGTGGAATGATGGCATAACGAGTTCGTGGGTAGTCATCAAATTTGCGGAGATACCAATTGTGCGTTTCTAGTGCAGCTAAGGTGAGGTTTGATACCTGCATCCAAGATGAGAGAGTTAAGTATATTCTTTTTAAATGTGGCTATTATTTCTATCATGGAGTGCATATATAATTGTAGAGAAACGGTCAACCATACCACAAATATGAAAACCAGCCAAATTGTCAAATCTAATCCTCCACTGGCAATCAGAATTCCAGCATACAATATCTGCAGGATAGAAAATGCTCGAATGATGATGCTCTGCTAATAAATTTTGTGTGCAAGAGGAGGACAAAGAGAGGATAACCAAAACTTTTCATGAGTCATAATATAATATATGACTATAAACTCTGTGCCCTTTATGCCGAACCCAATACATATATATCCCCCACTCTTAGGTAAATACATGAGATAATCAGTATATATCATATGCTCATCCTTAAAAGCATGAGATAATCGCTAAAGAATTGGCTTAAAGCACTAATGAGAGCAGGGAAAAGTGATTTCAGCTTCCCTTTTGAAGCAACCCTGTAAATGGTACATCAATCTCCCCCTAATTTTGCATGAAAGGCTTGAATAAGAAAGAAAGCGCATTCTGATTACTCACAAATGCTGTGGTGCTCTAGTCACTCATAAATTTTTTGGTTTTTTGGAAGTTCTGTATTGTTTCAAAATATAGAGAAGTTGAGGACTCACTATTTCTGCCAAGTAATGTGCGCACGAGACAAATTCAAACCAATCGCCATGTGGAATTTTATATTCATCATCCTCTGATTGTGTTCTGAGAGATCCCTGCAAATTATTATAAAAGTCATCCATGAATATCCCTGTCCACGCAGCCATAGACAGGTGTATATAGACAAAAGAGCACACTGGCATGCACATTGTATGGGACAGAACATATGTATGAGCATGAAATGCACAGCTTAAACAGAATTGTTTGCTCAGCATGGCTAGACTTGCTGCTGCACTTGGTTTCAGAATATTTCATGAGAACATACCATCCACTGGTTTGGAGTATGTGAGATAGTTGCAATGATTATTAGTGCAAGAAAAAACTAACAGGAGATTTGCTTCTTTTGGATAAAATAAAAAGCTATACAGCATAAAAAGTAAGGAAAACCAAGGAGAGTTAAAAAAATAAAAAGAAAAAAATAAAAAATAATCTTCATAACCGAAACAAGAGAAGAAAATGAATAATGACATGCTGATCATAAATACATAATGAATATTTCTTTTTTTTTGGAAGTGTTAACCTTTAATAAGAGATAAAAGTACAAGAGGCCTTGGCAATCCACAGTGGATATTTCTTTGAGGTTAAGAAGATGCTTTTTAAGTCTTAAGCCAAGTACAACAGAATATATTATTCCTTAGAAGTTGGGTGGTGTTTTTATGAGGATTTCAAATCTATCATCCATCTCAATCCTAGGTGTTGGCCATGATCACAGGTGGGTTATCTATCCAGTAGTTCATAAAAATTGCATCTTCATTTAGGTTGACATCCAAGGCCTGCCAACTGTAAGCTAGTTGTTAATCATTCATCCATGGGTACATTTATCTTTTCTTGTATGCATTGACACTGCTTCATAATTGATATAATGATACAGTTATTTCAACTCTCAAGGCACCTGTACAACATTGCTTGCATATGAAAGATATAAATCACCTTACATATATTCCCAGACTTGATGTGCTTGGTCTCCTGATGGGGTTTACTCCAAGTTTCAAAAAGTGCTGTTACACCATTTCATTGGCTAGGGGTTGTTATTGTTACATTGGGTATAACTGCTGTGATTTAAAACCAGTAAGAAGACACTAGGAGCACACCTCATGGTGTTGGCTCTCCTTGTTGGTATAACTTATCAGAAAACTGTGCTCACAAATGAACATGGAAGTGGATGTGTTCTGACCAACTTATGTCATGAGTAGAAGCAATAAGGGAAGGACTGATCACTTCTCCATAGTCCTTCTGGGTGGAGCAATCTGGCAAAAGTATTTTTTGCGAAGAGATAGTAACTGTATTAAAGAGGTATGTAAAGTGATACAAATACAAATTGCAAGGCATACAAAATTGGAAATATAATGTGTACAAAATCAGAAAGAGCCTTTCCAAAGAAGAAAACTGCCCAGTCTCCTGAAATTACTCAGCAAGGAAAGAGAAGCAAAACATTACAGGTGGTTTTGTACTTCATGGTAGATTGAGCACTAGAGATGAGTAAAAAGCCACCAGTTTAACCAAGCCATCCACATTGCTATTAGCCTTTCACCAAGTATGATTGAAAGGATGTTTCACCAGATACTAACAAACAATATCTCTTAAAAAGTCTGATCCATTCTCCATGGCAGATGAAGATTCCATTGGCCCCGTCAATGGTGTTTTTTGAATCCTTTCGACAATTAAAGAGGTACCCCAGCTTCTATAAAAGAATTGAGACCTTGTGGAAGGCCATCAGCCTATGTCATTGATGAGGTGGCAATGCGAATGGGCTCCGAGGAGATTAAGATCAGGGACCTGGATGGATCTAAATGTTCCTTCCACAACAACGCCCCCTTCCCCACCCTGCCCTACCTGGGTACCAAATGAGCAATCCAACAAAGTTTAATTTGATGATTTCCTATTCCAGAGGTCACCAGCAAGAGATCTACCTTGAGTGCTCTACCCGATCTAGCTATAGTCTCCCAATTCAGAACGAGTCTGAGCTTGTGTTGTTTCGAAACCATGAAGCTCTCACACCCATTCAATCACCAATTTTTTGAAGTCATCCATAATATTTAGGACGGAACTCTCCTTGTCCTCCTGTTGCACTCCAGCCATACATTCCATATAAAAGTAAGGATCAATGCCATCTAAAGTATTAGCCCTACCTTTGGTGGGGGGGCAAGAAATAGGCTGGAAATAGTTGTTTCATGGTTCCCAGTATTACCCATTCTACCCTAAATATCTGTAGACATTTGCTCCAAATGTGTCCTAAAGCAGGGCAATGGAGTCCTCTCTTCACCACGCCTTCGTAGTTCGTCCACATAAAGATCTTTTTATGTATGCATCCAAACAGCTGGATTTTGGAAGGCGCTGGATTTTGGAAGGCGGAAAAGGGAACCAGGTCCTATTGACCACCATGTTGGTGGAGCTTCATTCCTAATGATATGGTTGAAAGATGGGATGAAGAGAATTGATGGGGCGGGGCTGCGGATGAACTTGTCCCTGCTAAACTCAAACACAATAAAGCTTTGAAAGATAGGGAGTAGCCTTTCTAGTTTGAGCAGTTCCATGGTGTTGAGATCATATCAGAATCTGTGATGTATCATAAGATCACTTACTCACTTTGATGGTTTTGAAGTTAATGGGGTGTAAACTTTAGAGTTCTGATTTTTTGTGTGAAATTACGGTTAAGGTTTCAAGGGATTATTTAGGATTAATTCTAGGAATGACATATACGTCACTTTTCAGGTTTTAGTGGTTGTATTAAATGGGGAATGTTTGCTGGTTTGGAGGGTTATAAAAGACAAAAAATATTAAAGAAAGAAGAAAACAGAAAAAAATAAGGGGGAGAAAGAATAATTATAAAAGGAGGAGGAATATTAAAGATTTTAAGGAACGAAAAGAAAGAAGGGAAAAAAAGGAGAGGACAAAAGAATTTAGGAGAAGAAAATGGAAGAAAGGAGAAGAAGATAATAGATGGGAAAGAAGAGGAAATGAAATTGAAGAATACCTTGAAGGGAGGGACCTTAGGAGGTGCTACGAAGCCTTCTTTATAACCTTCAATCAAAGAGTTCAAGAACCTCTTCTATAGGGTTTGTTTTTTTTACCTTCACAAAGTTATCAAAATAAACATTTTAAGAGTTGGACATCCCTCTCTTCCCTTCTATACAATTTGTCTTAAACATAATGACGTAACATACACTTGATTAAAATAAAATAATAAAGACTAAACTACCCCTGAATTATCTACAACTCCAAAAGACATAAACACCCATAGGTAGCTAAAAAAAATTAAAAGACCAGTAACCTTAGTTTTCAGTTCTCCAAAGATTAAAAAGAGTAGAAATCCTAATGCAAACTAAGGTTACCCTTAGGTACCTCCACGACAGAGCATATGCTTGGTTTGGGGGTAACAGGAACAAAGATGGAATTGATTAGTGATGCTCAAGTTTCCCAACAAAGTGTCTAACCAGCACCAAATTCTTCCCCCATCTTTTAGACTTAGTAGCAAAGGAAGAGTATTCCGAGAGCACCCCTTGCCATGTTACTCACATGCATGGACGGGCGTTAGGCTTTGGCAGCGAACTAGACTCATGCGAACCATATTTTTGCGGGGTGACCTTCCACCACCGGTGGGTTTCTTGGGTCACAAAGCGCCAAAACCAATGGCCCAGCAAAGCAGTGTTCATATCTTCAAGTGATCTGATACCTTAGACCCCGGCTTTCTTGGACTTGCATACAAGGGACAATTTAACCAAGTGCATTTTGGCTATCATGTGGCCCTTACCATAGGAATCTCCTCATCATTTTTCTAGTCTATTGACTGTTAGCATCGGCAGTTGAAAAGCGATGGCTTAAAGATTGCGATGCTTGAAAGGATAGTGTTGATGAGTGTAACTCTTCCCTCCAAAGATAAGAAGCACCCATGATAGGCGAATAGTCGCTTCTCGAACCTCTCAATTACGCCATTCCATTGGTGTATTTATGGTTTCCTACACACATAGGTAACCCAAGGTATTTACTTAAAAAAAATTCTACATCACGATCCAAACTAACAGCCAGATTCCTCAAGTTTTCATTTTCCACCCCAATACCCATGAGTTATGTTTTTTTTCGTGTTGATTTTGAGGCCTGTTGCAAGTTCAAAGAACCAGAGAAAATACCCAAAATTAGTCGACTTGTTTGGTGGCTTCGCACAAAAGTAGATTGTCATCTGCATATTGTAAGTGCGGGATTGATAAATTCCCATTTGACAATCTGAAACCACAGATCATGTTTTGGTTCTCAAGGTTTGAGTTGATCAGCTGAAAATTTCAGCCACTATGGCAAAGAGAAATGGGGATAGAGGATTGCCTTGGCACAACCCTCAAAAGCCTCTCAAGTGGCATTTTGCACTGCCATTAATCATGCCCATGTACATGGCTGAGGATAGGCACTCCAAGATCCATGATCACCACCCATCCACAAAATCCATCAACTGTAACCAACCTAATCAAGTTTGAGGATCAATCAGGTAGAAGTATTTTTAACCCTCTTTATACCAATTCACTAATTTACATCAAAGTTGGGTAAGGTATTGTTTCATTAATTTGGAGCAAGGTAGTTTCTCTCATATATAAATGCAAGACCTCTTCAAACTACACTGGTAATATGGATGGGCTCTATTTGTTCATTAAGTGGTGGTGCCACTTAGAGTAAATGATCCAATTACATGAATTGTTGCCATAAGGTAGATTGAGAAATCCCCTGAAAAATTATTGCTTTGATAAACCAACTACAAAACCACTAAATGCTTCCCCACTACCATGAAGCACATAATTAGAAGCAACTCAGATTAGGTGAAGTCTTACCATATACCAATGGGGGATCCAAAATGTGAAGGGCACAAATATCCAGTAAAAGAGGACAATTCACTTGATGTCATTATATGGAGGCATGTGCCAATATGGTGGCTGACACTTTTTCCAATATAGTGGCTGACACTTTTTTCTTCAATAATACAGAAATTTATAAATTTAGCTATACGAGATTAAACAATTTAACATTTTATCAATATTTTTTCATTTAATTTCAAAATACCCATAAAATAACTCATATCCTGAGTTGAAATGGTTCCAAAAGGGTAAGTTGTTGAATAGTTCATCTCTTATGGGTATTTTGATAAATTTCCCATAATAATATAATGGCCGATACTTTCACAGCCGTAATTCAGGAAGGATTGGATTTGTCACTGTAAAAATTCTTTTCTCTTTACTTCTAACGTAAATCTCAACACACTGGACAAAAATGGCAAATTATCAAAAGGAGGATGAGAATAGTTGCAAGTAGAATTCAGTTTAATCAAATATCATCTAACACAAGAAATTTCTCCATTTAGATTACTCACTCTTTCATGATTAAGATAAAGAAAGATTCCACATTTTGAAAAAGCACCAGACAATTTAACAAAACATCAATGTTTCAAACCTACAAGTATAGTGTGGCAACGAAACTGACGAGTCCATCCCCAAATGAAAATGCCTGCACCAATCCACTGAAACAATCCCAAGTGTACAAATGGCTTAATATATTCCAACCAATCAATCTTGACATCTGGCATATAAGTTCGACCTTTTACAATGTAATTAGCAGCTTGCTGGGTTACATATCTGATCACTTCTGGAGCATAAGAGATGCAAAGCGATAGAGGTGCAGCTATATAGAAACTGACCTACCAAAATAAACATGACAATCAACAAGCAAACCTATAATATGGACAAAAAGTGTTAAGATGTTAGGTTAACCAAAAAAACCACTTCAAAATTTATTTCACATGAGTTCTATGCACAGGAATTATGGCATGCATAATGACAAAAAAAAGTCCACACATAGATGCATTTGAAATAGCAGTGCTTGAAATATGAAGTGACATCTGGCAAGGATTAATGAAGCAGACAGTGAAAGAACTTCAATTGACCTACCTATCACACCAAGTCACAAACACAAGAGGTTGATAAAAGCCTCACCTCCTTCAAGAAAGGTACTAGGTGCTTTAGTTCCTAGAATGATTTAACAAGGTTGAATTAACCCAAAACTAACTACCCACTCAAAAAATGTTAGAAAACCCAAATTTCCATCACAAATAAACAAGGCCATTTCTGGCCTTGAGAATGTTGAGTTCGTATGGGAATTACATCAAGGAAGTTATCACTGTTATCCATGGAAGTAGACAACTTAAGTGGGAAGAGAAGGATATTTTAAAGTGTTGGATGGAAAAATTCACTCATTAAGCGGAGCTCATGGCATCCACCATCAGGGCTAACCATTCTATTGGCATTTCGACACCCCATAAGAAAAAAAATCTGATCTCATCACTCAAGGAATCCAATTAGAAATTGTTATTTAACATCGCATTGAAGAAACTGCTCTAGAAAATGACATAAAAAGGTAAACCAATTGCCTTTCCTTTTTTATAAAAATAATTTAGCATTTAATTTTCAAGTGTCAACGTTTTAGCAAATTCTGATTGATGCAATGGCAGTTCATGGCACACAAGGGTGCAAGTCCTAAACTTGCAAGAAATATGATATTGGGGCAACAAAATATTGATGTAAAAGGCTTCTGATGAAAAAGGAAGGGATAAATCACCAAATACACTAGAAGACTAAATGTTTCAATAGACTGAAGTTCCTGAACTTTGATACATAACATCCCTTTTTAGGTTGGAAGATACATTATTTATAAAGAACACTGCTCATAAACTTAGACTTGCTCGACCTGCCAAGTGCCTGGAATGAGTTGGCCAGCGAGTCCAGACTCCAGAGTAGATTCACTATGTCTAGTCTGAGTTGGAAGAGTCACCCACAAAAATTCCCACAAACAAAATGGAAAATTAGAAGCAAAAAATAAAAGGAAATTCAAAATTATGAAAAGTTTATTATATTGGTATACACTCGGTGAAATCTAATGCAACATTCAATGATTGAATAACACCCAATTTTGCTTACCCAAACTTTTCAAGCTGACCCCTCAACCTTTGTGCCAGATGCGCATCGACGACTCCACTCTTTGCGAAAAGGTCCTCAAATACCCCAGATAAAAACCCCTACACTAGACTTGAATTCGAGTTGCGATCTAGTTGATCTCAGCTCCTGAAAGTTTCAGCCAACTAGTGTTTTGGCGTTCAAAATATCGCAAATCTGAGATTTAAAGTGGTTTTTCATGGAAACTAAGCCTTTGATTTGATAAAGAACTCAAATGTAAGGTTAGGGAAGAAACTTCAAGTCACATTGAGCTACGGTTGTGAAATTTTCGCAGGTTTTCAAACTTAGTAAAACTCTAGACAAAAATTAAATTCTCACAAATCCAAAATTTAAGATGTTCTCTCGATTGTGATCTTCCTAATAGTTAGAGGATGCAAAAATATGCCTAAGGATTAATGCAAATGGAAGATTGGATCTATGAGAAATGGGGTTCAGTTTTCAGCCTGCATCTTTTGTACTAACAAAGTGTAAAGACCCGGTGAGTTTCTACAAATTTGCCAAGTCTGTCAGAAACTCGCTGAGTCAGACAGAACTTGCCCGAGTACTAAAATAACTCAGGCGAGTATGTGAATAGGGGTGAGGGTCTTGAATACAGTAGCTGACCAGCCTAAGTAACTCAAGTGAGTCCGAGTTGGACTTGCTGAGTTTTTTGAACACCAATAAAGAGTGTATGTCATATGAGGGTAGAAAACTGCGTGAAAGTCATAATTGATAACACATATGACTATGTGGCCATAGGAAAATTATCAATGACGGGATATTTTCAATACTTAGGATCCTGATGCACATCATTTAGATGTATTATCAATAGCTGAAACTAAGCAACTCACAATATTTGTTAAGAACCATACTCAGACCCTTGGATGTTGTATCTGCTTAATATGGTCAAGGATGGCTACCCCCAGCTATAAGAAGAATCTAAACATACTTTATCACTCATCTCTTGCTATTAAGAAGGGACCTTAGACCAACCTATACACCTCATGAACAGTAGGAGCTAGACGCGCAGGAGAAAAAAGCTCAAGCTGTTTCATATAACATTGGAAGCTTTTGCGTGGTGCCAAGAAGTATTAGAAAATGCAACTTTTTGCCTTTTTTCATATATTTCCATTTAATCATATTTCAGAATCCTCAGAATGAAAAAAACATATTTTAGAATCCTAAAGCCACATATGACTTACTGTAACTAAATGCCTATTAATAACATGCTTGCAAGAACAAGTCGGAAAAGATTCCAAACTCAAGGATGGTTCCCTCTATTGGCCACCCCTGTCTGGCCTTACCCCCCTCCCTCCTCCTCCTCCTCCTCCTCCTCCTCCTCCTCCTCCTCCTCCTCCTGAACTACACACACCTCTTCTAACCTTCCAAATCCACCTCCTTGGCTCCCATATCCGCCAAGCAGACAATCAACTCCAACCCCTCTCCCCGCTCGCTTCTCTTGTAGTCCACTTACTCCCAACTTGATCTCCATAGAGGGACAACATATTGCTGCCCTAGAGCAGTCGTTGAAGCTCTCCTTGATTGGCCATTTCAACCCCCACAAAGATGATCTCAGAGGCATAGAGAAATGAGGAAAGGAACTGCAGGCTGAACCTAAACAGAGTCGCCACAAACTCTCCAGTGGAGACATACTCTTCTCTTTCCCCCAGAGGGGAGCGACCCAATGGAGCGAACCACAGTTCAAAGGTTCCTCGCTTTCTCTCATCTGGTGGAACAAGGATTTGGGGGACCCCTAACTCAGAAGATTTGGCTCAGAGAGTTTCACATCCCCCTTCATGCCTGGCATCTCGACAGTTTCAAGCTTATTAGAGAGGCTTGCGTGCCTTTATCTCGGTGCATAGGAAATCGTCAGAGTTCCTCGCTTTGGGGCAACATCTAGTTGCTCATCAACACTTTTAACTCTTATCTCATTCACACAATGCTCGGGTTAGCAGTGGAGGCTAGTTTTTTTTGTATCCATATGTCCTGGTTCCCAGTCTCTCGACCATCCTCATGCCATGTCCAGGACCATGGTTCTGGTCTCTCGAGTGCCGAGGGCCTAGAGCACATAGGCCTCCACCCATAGTTCATGCCGCCGGGGATACAATCAGAACTATCAAAGCTCTCATTGCAGGGGTCATCTTGACCCCCCTCCTCGATCAATAGCTGAGATCCCTCCCCAGAATACCATGCCCCTCGTTTCTCCCACCACCTCTCTCCTCCCCTCTAGGGCTGATGTCAGCCGCCATCAAAATCTTTCGTGGTCCTTCCACATCTTTCTCCCATTCCTCTCATTTCTTGGATGCTCCTTGGGCCCACAGATCATACCCTGGGGCCACATGGCCTCCACTGACTCACTTGTTCATGTGGAGCCCATTCCCATACCCATTTCAATTTTACCACCTTTTAAAAGGCGGCTTGCCTTACACCTCCCCGACATATCAGGATTCCCCACCGTTTCTCCCCCCCCCCCTCACCCACCCCCCAAAAAAACCAACAAACGAATCCAGGTGCAGCCTCCTAACCATCACCATCCATCCTTCCCCTTCCCCCCCTCTCTCGTCATCCACAACTCCTAGCATCAACCCTATGGCCCCAATATCGAAGGAGCCTCCACCGCACGTGCCGAGGCCACCCGTGCCACCCTCATCATCCCAAGACGGTGTCTCTTGTTCTCGTACTTTGACCTTTCCACTCTCTTCACAAACCCATTGGGTGAATCTATCCCCATCTCGGACCTCCACCTCCTCCGGGGCCCCATTGTGCCATTGTCCCCACAGCCCAAAGTCTCCGTCAAACCCCTCTTTAGGAACCTGCACTCCCCTCCCACCAACGGCAACTGCTTCCTAACCCCCCTCCACCTTTCCCCTCTTCCCCTCTTCTAATCCCTTGCTTCCCTTACCTGACTGTGCCTTTGCACCACTGTACTCTACCTCCAAACCCCTGCGCCCCCTCTCGTGGCATGCGCTCCTTGCCCTCCTCCTTACCTCTGCTAACCCATATCCTCCTCCCCCTCAGCCTCCTTTCGCCCTAACCCATCCCATCCCCTTTCTGTCTCTCCCTCTCTCTCGCTCCTTGGGCAGTGGTCTTTGCTACCCTTACTCCCCCTTCCTGCCCTTCCTCCCACCCACCGCTTCTCCTAATTGTTACCCCTACCACAGCCTCCTCCCCTTCACAGGACCTTGCCACTCTCTTCTCACCCAGTGGACTCTTCCCTGCCCCTCCCCTTCTTAGGACCCTTATCTTTCCCCTTCTTTGGGACCCCTATCCCTCCTGCCTTCCCCTAGTGGGTTGCTCTTACCCTCCCCAGGGTGGCACAGTGTTCATGTTCCCAAAGGTGAACCGAACCCACCCCACCTCTACTTTATTACAATTCCCCTGGTTTCCAAGAAATTTCCCACTCGTCATCTACAACTTCCATGGACTCCAACAGCATAAAAGGCATGGACAACGCACAAGGCAACATCCACCAAGTCCTCAAGTTCATGGTTCCACTACGACGGACCAAAGGAGGACATTGAAGTTTTCATTAGACATGACACCCAAACTCAATTCAAAGTAAGAGCCAAAGGCAATAGAGAGCTCTCCAACCTGGCTTTTGGGGTCAACTACGACCAGGTGGACAACAACACCCCTCCTTCCCTCCTTGCTGCTCCAGCCCCCTCGGCTTGTCAGCTCCCTAGGCACTTCTCGAGGCACGCCCCCTCCCCTAACCCTTCCCCATGAAAGTCCTTACTTGGAACAATCGGGGCCCAAGCGAGCCCACAATAAACGAAAAGCAGTTTGGGATTTCAGCCTTAAGTTCTCGCCCTCAGTTCTGGCCATCATTGAAACTAAGCTTCCCTCCCCCAGATCCGACGAGTTTGGGGTTTCAGGCCCTCCCAATGGGCAACTTTGGAATCTTACAGGGCCTCCGAAAGTATTTGGGTGCTCTGGGACCCGACCCTACATGCCCTCTCGACCTCCCAGATGGGTATCTTCTTTGTCTCTATTGCCCTTACTAGAATTTTCAATGGTCGTCCTTGAAGTTGACTGCTGTCTACGCCTGAACTCAAATAGCTTCACGGGCTCTTTTTGAGAGGAGCTCGAAATGGTCTCTTCTTTGCAAACTCCTATATGGTGAATTGGTGGTGACTTCAACGTAACCAGATGGTCCTTTGAGCGCAATTCAAACCCCAAAATCTCTCAAAAGCAGGCTCGGCTTTTCTGATTTATTTCTAGGAATAATATCCTAGACATCCCTCTCCAAGGAGCAGATTTCAGTTGGTCCAAACACTCCTCTAACCCAAGTGATTCATAAACTCGCGGACTTGTGGGGTTGTAAGGTCAACAACCTGCCTTCCACCTATTTGGGTACACCACTGTGTATTGGTAAGCCCAAGCTGCAACAATGGAGCCACATCATCGACAAATTCAACCGGAGTTTCGCAGGCTGAAAAGGTAGGTTCCTCTCCTCCGTGGGGAGAATCACCCTCATTTAGGCTACCCTCTCCAACATTCCAATCTCCCAAATGTCAGTCTTTCACATGCTTGCTTCAGTCGTGGCTCACCTGGAACAGCTCATGAGGAATTTCCTCTGGTCCGGAGAAGAGGGAAAATGTATCACTCCATCTCTTGGGCCAAAAGTGTCTTCGCCGGAAGCCCAAAGCCCATGGAGGACTAGGTATTCGCAGTCTCAAAATCAACAATTAGGTGCTCCTAAGCAAGTGGTAGTGGCATTATGCCACACAAGAAAACCACCTTCGGCAAGAGGTCATCTGGAACAAATACCGTTCTGTAGCCTCTGTCTGACTCCCTAGTTGCAGGGCCCAACAACAGATCCTCAAGACTATGGAGATCCCTTCTCCGCAGCTACAATCTCTTCAGAGATAATTTCCAGTTCCAGCTGTGGGAAGGTAATAGGTTCCTCTTCTGGTTTGACCTTTGCATAGGTCATTCAACTTTGAGGGAGCGCTTCCCCAATTTGTTTCCTCCTTGCCGACGAGAACCAAGTAACTGCTGTAAATCACTTCGATTGTTGGTACTTAGGTTTTGCTAAAGTATGGAACCCCAATTTTAGGAGACCCCTAGCAGATCATGAAGTCGACGACTTCTTAGCCATGTCATCCCTTCCCAACTCCATTTTCCTCCCACCCCATGGCAGTGACAAGATTATTTTGTCACTTGCTCCCTCAGGTGTCTGCTCAGTATCTTCTTTATACCACAAAATCCTCATGCCACCTACCCTACCAGCATGACCCCCATCCATCGCCGCTAAAGCTTGCTTCCTGCTTATTCCTCCCAAACTCCAAGTCTTTAACTAGATTGCCCTATCAGAGAGAGCCTTGACAGTAAATCAGCTTCAAAGAAGGGGATTGCCAATACCTAATAGATGTGTCATGTGCACAACAGAGGAAGAAACCCACACAAATCTCTTTATCCACTGTCACTTCGAGAGATCTCCCCAGTGGGACCTCCTCCAACTCTTCAATTGGTTGTGGGTCACTCTGAGGTCGGTTGTACACCTCTTTGCATCCTTCCTCTCCCCTCCTTGGTCTATGTCGGACATCCTCCTCTATCGGGCTTCCGTGGCAGCCATGTTATGGGTCATTTGGACCAAGAGAATCAACAGGACTTTCCATGGGGAGAAGGCAACATTGAAGCCTTGAAAGACAAAGAACTTTGGTCACCTTTTGGGCTAAGGACATAAATCCTTTTGGGCTGCTCCCTTGGCAACCCGGGCCTTCAGGCATTGGGGGCATTTTCAGAGATAAGGACGGGTATACCCTCAACTCATTCTCTCAATTCATCACGCACACTGATTCTAATACCACAGAGGCCTTGGCCCTACCCACCTCAGGAACTTCACAAAATTGGTAATAGAAACATCATAGCTTGGGCCTTTAGACCCTCACCCAGCCCTTGGAGACTTGACCATACTGTTGACGAAAGTTTCTACATTTGCAGGTGCATATGCGTCTCATGGAGACATGTCTAGTGTGAGGACAAATCAGCAGCCAACGCTCTCGGTAAAGAGGGAGCACCTCAAGACAGCACCCAGGGGATTTTTGGCACCTTTTCTAGCACATAGTTCCCCATTTTTGTATCTAGACTTCTTGTTCATTTTTTAGATGTCAAGCATATTTTTAGCCCCTCTGCAGGTTTTTGGTATAGAGCACCCTGTATGTGGTTTGCCTAAACCCCTGTATTTTGTTTACTTCTAGACCAGTTGAAAGATTCAAAAAACAAACCTCGTCCGAAAATCAGTGAGTCGATGCATTTAAACCCTGACAGCTCAAATTGCATAAATTACTAGGCCAAGTTGAAAATTAGGGAAATTTATCAAAACACACCTAAAAATATCAATAATTCATTGTTTCAACCATTTATCAAAGCACACCTACAAGACGGACTAATCTAACTCATGATTATGCGTCTTTTCATGATTATTGACGTTAAATTAAAAGAAATCAGTGAGATATTAAATAGTTCATCTCTTGGGTGCTTTTTGGTCAATTTCATTAAAAACTATGAGCATGTAAAACATCAGGACATTCAAATCAAAGCAGAAAATACTAGATATTTAGGAAACAAGTAACATGTTGAGGATATGGATATGTACTTACAATAAACCTGTTAAGTAGCCAAGTATGCGCATTCTAGCAGAAGAACTATAGTTGAATACATACAAAGACTCATAAAAGCGCCTCAAGACTTGAGCCTCCATCATCAAGAGTAAAAATACAACCGTCCATATCTGATAGCTGAGCTCTGGATGAGAAGATCGGGACTTATCAAAAGAAAAAATATGAGAGCCTCCAGTTAAATGGCTAGCAACTGTCGAAAAATGCAACGCTTCTGATGCCATTGAAACTGTCATGTCATGTGCATAGGACCAAGTACAGACAAGTAAAGCTGCTGTCCATACAACTGCCACTAAGTAAAAATGCAAGAAGAAGTTCTGTGGAACAGTGAATCTCTGTATTACCAAAGAGAAAATTAAGATCAGTGGACTTCAATAAATGTAAGCAAGAAGCATCACATTTAGTACTTTTGACTAAAAAGCAACCCAGTTTGTGCTACTATATAAGTGTAACATCCAGAAAAGGAGAAAAGAAAGACTTTGGAAGAAGCCAATAACTAGTTTTGTAGATTTGCAACTAAGCCCTGAGAGGCATGCAGCGATTGGATTAACATAAGGAAGAAAAATAAACAAAAATTAATGGAATTCAAGAAGGGAAAAACCTTGATACTCAAAGAAATATAAGTTCTACAGACAAACATCACCGCATAAAATTTTTACCAAGATTTCTGATTGTTTAGATAAACACAACTAAGTAGAATATTCTGTAATAGCCCAATCATCTGATTTACAAATGTTACTCTGGATTTTCATGGTCTAAAACTTTTTTCTATAGATAAAATTTGGTACATTCAAGCAATTTATAATGCTTGCAAGTTAGTTTATTTCACAAGAAGCTACAGGTCAAAAAAAAAATATGGTAAAAAAGACTGCTTTTCATTTTCTCATGAGCCAGAAAACCATTTCTCTGTCAAAATAATAAGCAATTTCCATAGAGAAAAATAAAAGGCATGAAACATTGATAAAGCACAAATAAATTCAAACAGTATGATCATTGGTTGAAAGATAGAACACATTTCAATCATCCCAGGAAAAGAAAATAAAAAAGTCACAGTTGTATTGGAGATATGGAACTATGTTAACAGGTCATTTCCCAATGAAGAAAATGACTACAACATAAACATCTCCAATAATCAAAATGAACAAGGGAAACCACAGAAAACCAAGGTTCAATTACTTGGATCAGGCTTGGGACTCCGGCCCTGTCCAAGCCGAGTAAAATGAGAGAGTCCAGTGTACCAGCCTAAAAATATGCTAAAAAAAAAGAAAAAAGAAGAACAGTTCAAAATAAAAATCAAACTAAACTATAAGCAACATTGAAAGTTCGGAAAAAGGAAAAATTTATAAAATTGGGAGAGAGAGAGAGAGAGAGAGAGAGAGAGAGAGAGAGAGAGAGAGAGAGAGAGAGAGAGAGAGAGACGAAGTACGAACGACGAACGACGACTACCGTAACTAACAACTACCAACTAACTAACTAACCTAACTAACCACTACTAA